TTGATTTATTACGTTACTTTAGTCTTATGGCAGGGCATACTCAGGCTTGTCGTAGTACCTCGGCAAACAAGAATATTTGGCTTTGTCATGGTTTAGACAGTGCCTTTCCTAATTCAGTGTTATTTCCAAAGAGTGAAGCTGCGGCGAGTTGATTTGAGAAATCAACGATAATCTAATAAGAAAAAAGCGATCCAATAATTAGGAAGTAGAGAACAGAGGAAATCTTTTTCCGTAAAAGCACAATGATGTTTTTGACTTCGGCAGAAGTCAAACAGAATACATTCGAGAGGGAGCGAACTATGAGAATAGAGGCTACACCTTCGCAAGATGTAACGTTAGCTCGTAATTTCGCACGTCATCAAAATAGAAAAGCCGTTGCAAACCCTGCTCGATTTTTTATTTGACGCATTTGAAATTAGCAGCTAGAGAGGAGAACTTTGATGTTTGAGTCGCTGGTATGTACGTTATCACGTTGCCGGTGGTCTTCGAGTAATTGCGTTGGTGGAAGGTCGTCTACGTGACGCCGACAGACGCTTCAGGGAGAAAAAATGAGTGCGGCAGAAATTCGCAAGGAACGTCGTTTCTCTCTTGAACTGAATATTAATTTCTTTTTTACCTAACAATAAGTCGCTGAAACTACGACAACGTTGTATAAATAACTCGTAAAGAAATTCGATTTATTTCCGAAAATAGTTAATTATTGAAAAAGCGTTTGCTCTGCCAGGAGGATCTCCGTGTTCGGATGTTTTTTCCTATATGTTTCCTATATGTTTTCTTCAGAGGAAACATTATCAGAAAGAACGCATTGAAAGACTTCTTATAGGAAAGAACGCTGAAAGAAGCTCTTAAAGAAATTAACCCTTTCTCGTTTTAAAGAGATAAAAATTTAAAAATTAACGTTTTAATTCTACTCTCGTTATGGCATACTCAGCTTTAAAAAAAATCTTTCGGAAAACTTTTGTTTACTTTGTTACTTTAGTTTGTTCATGTAACTTTTTTACAAAGTTACATACATTCGCTTGATGTTGTTGTAGTATTAATTATGTACATCCTTAATATCTTGATCAAAAAAATAAAATTTATTACAATATATTTATTTTCGTATAAGTTATAAATAATTGAAGTTGGGTTGAGTATGCACAGTGTATTGCATCTGTAACAAATTAGTACAATATTGCGTTGAAGAGTTAACACATTAAGATACATATCAGTAACGTCAGATAAAAATTTGCAGTTATTAATAAAACACCATGGCACCGATACGTAAATACGAATGATTCTTCATAAGATTCTTCCTCGTTGATCATCTACATAATTCAATTAGTCTTCTTAATCTAGTAAATACATTTCCTAGATTGTGTACTGTTACACGTTAATAAAGCCTGAGTCAACATGAGATAGACAGCGTGTAAGAAGATTTAAGTGAAGATTCCCACTCGTCGAGGTAACGTGTTCTAAACACACTCTTACGCAAACGAGTTCTGATATCGTTTGTTCTACGAGAAGAAAACTTTGAAGCTTATAGCTCAGAACTCACTTTATGCCACGTATTCTCTTTACGCAGAATAGACGTAATACATTGAACTGATTTACATAATATTAAATAAACAACTTAGTAGCACGTCGATATTGTCTACGATATTGAGAAGTTTCAAATGAAATTTAAATTATTTTATTGCATTTATTCCGAAAAATTCTTCTAAAATTATTTATTTTATTCCTCTATTATACATTTCTCCAATTTGTTTATGAATTTAACTTATTAAATTACCCTTTTGAAATTATTTAGAAAATTTCATAAATCAACCACAAAAAAGATTTCTATATTCAATGCTATTACTCCTCGATTTAGAATCAAATAAGATCGATATACCAATCATATTTATTCCTTATATAGAGAAAAATATTTTATTTTTAAATAAAAAATTCTAAAATCTAGAATAAAATATTCCTGATGCTATCTCATTAATTTTCTTAATAGAAAAATTGAGATCAGACATAAAATATTCTTTTAAACACTGATCTAAAGGAAATAATTTGCTCTATTTTTATGGAAAGAAGTTTTCAGAATGATAGTAATCTTACATTTTTCGCCAACGAAGAACTGGACTTGACTGGGACTCGAACTCAGGATCTCTCGTTTCGTATGTCTTAGCGCGCTATACCACGAGTTTCGCTGCCATGATACTATAGCATCATGTACATAATAATACTGGATAAAGACTTATTCTAAATGTAAGAATATATAAATTTAAATTTATATATACACTTGTCTCAAGACAACATGTAGATCTTATTTTATTCAATGCTGTAGAACAAAAATTACTGATTTAATCTTAATATAGTTATAATTTTATACTGTATAGAGTTGAGCTAAAATTAAGTACGTCATAAATTTTTTTTCTGGGAATCAGAAATTCTTCCTAAGAGTGTATTCTTAAATTTGCAGTAAATGATTTGTATAAAAATTATAAGACTCAGTAAATGATTTGTATAAAAATTATAATACGATATATACATATTAAAAAAGTAATATAAAAATAAAATAAGTATATATATTATCAAATCTTTGCTTATCAGTTTTAGGATATACTCGTAATTATTGAAACATAATTATTAAATAAATTTTGTTGGCTATTCACTGTTTTAAATTTGAATTTATTTTATAAATATATATAATAATAAGTTAGAAATTACTTAAAAAATCTTTATTGATTTTAAGATTTTTAAGCTATTTTACCATCTGCATGTCAAATCATTATTCAGATGATTTGAGTTGATATATATTTCTAAACAGAAACGTTTTTAACATTGACAGAAATTATTCAGATTCTCACGACGTAATAGAGAAATTTCAAGATCGGCGAACCTATTTACTCACATTAATAAGTATTATCGATTCGCTTCACGGTATAGTAGGATGATCTATATCGCGTCTCAAATAGCCTGATGCGTTCCAATCGATTCTCATCCACCGCAAGTAGAATTGGGCGATCAATACTCGCTGCTCTCTTGAAGATTTGAGTATTATGTATATTGAAGAATTGAGTATTATCATATTGAAGATTTGAGTATTATCTTGAAGAATTGAGTATTATTATATTGAATAAATCAATTAGTTTATACATTTCTATTAGTATATCAAACATATCATTAAATAACTTCTCACGTTCATAACGATGCGCTATGCATAGTATTAAAAAATTAAAAAAATATAGAGATGAAGTATAAAAGATGTTTAAAGACCTGCATATTTTCTTTGAAAAAGTTCCAATTTTTTTACGATGAATTTATTAGCGCTACTAAGAATAAGATTGAGTCGAATAAAATATTAAATAAGGCAAAATTTAAAATTTATTACTTAAAAATTCTTACTTTTTAGTTATTACTTAATAGTTTTACACCGAGAGTAGACGTATGCTTAAATGAAATGCTATAGGAAGTAGATAAAAAGACCAATGAATTAGAATTAACTGCAACACGTTTGTTTAATGCAATAAAAACTTGTGACGAAGAGTGTGCACAAGCCATTTTTATCACAATTAGTTGCAAAATTCATCAAGTATACATTATTTTATGATTTTTTTATTATTATACAAATTATACATTATATTATAATATTATTCTAACTTTCTAACTTTCTAGCTTGGAAAAATAATAAATAAATCGATTTTTAAAAATAATCATTTTTTTTTAGATACAATGAACTCTTATTAAATAGGGACTATTTATTGTTATGTCGTTATTTGCTTGTTATGTGTGAGATTTACGCCAGAGGATAACGATTTTTAATTGTGTTAACTTTTAAGAAGTTAAAATTGCACTCAAATTGTAAGAAGGTTCCAAAGATTAAAAGATTAATTACAGATTAAATTAAAGATAATTGTTAAAAGTAGAGTAGTCGGAAAGGATTTCCTCTTTTTATGATAATAATAATAATTTTAAAATTGCTTTAGAAAGATAATATTTAGTTTCTTTGTTATTTTAAATTTATTTTTAATTTGGGCCTTATATATTTATATGCATATATATATATATATATAATAAGACCCAATATAAGAGTTAAAAATATTTTTTTCGTTTATATATTTCTTTTTCATTTATAAATATTCTATATAAAAGATATATTTTGTTTTTGTGAGTGAGTGAAATAAACATTTTATTCTCATTTCGTTTATTTCGAGATATCCCTATAAATAGAATTAAAAAAAATAAATCATGTGGGCCTTATATTCGGCTCAGGTACCTAATACGTATAAAACTGAAATATCTTACAATTCGAAACTTGTTATATTGAGGAAATTATGTAGATTAAAATTGACATAATCGGTCTTGTTCAAACGTCAAGTTAATTGAGAGTATTATATAATTAACGCAATCAATACGTAGTTAATTTAATAGATATGATTATTAATACAGGTGTAATGACAAAATGCGTTGTTATATCAACACAATGGTTTTTGATTGTTAATAAATTATTAACGATTTTCTTTGTAATATATGTTTGCATCATATTAAATCCTTTTTCTGTAGTTGTTCTGTATTGTGTTAGTATTATTTTCTTCAAATAATGTTAATATTTATCTAGCGGAAGGAAACCTTAATAACTCTCAATCTTCATAAAAATGTTCCAATATTATTTTACAAAAATAATCTCAATATACAAATTCGAAAGTCCATATCTAAAATATTCGGTTTTAAATAGTATTTTCTCCAAATAAAGAAAATAACGTCATTAGGACCTATACTACCGCATAGATTAGGTAAAATCTACGACATAATTAAATTAGCTGCAACAAGAGAGCAATAGTAAAAGCCACGTTTAAAAAGGGTTTTTAAATACCAACGATCTAATATTTCACCGTTTTTTCTCTCGCGAAATAAGCTCTAGATGTTTTAATTTACGTCACAGCACAAAGACTTGACATTCTCGAAGACGCGAAGTGGAAAGCAAGAATTGTATCGCCAAATGACACTTATGTTACATTGTTCGATTGCAGAGTGCTGGTGAATGAGGGCACAAGGAACGCATACGGGGGGCGACGACGCCCTTGAGGCTTGAACGGGGAAAATATGGTGCACGAGGGCACGGGTCTATGGCACGCGGCGGGATTCAACGTATCGAAGTGGCTGATGATTATAATACATGGATACCGGGTCACCACCCTCGTCCTGTACATCCTGCTCAACGTACTGGTGCGCACCGGTAAGTACAACCACCTTCCGGTTTCCCCTTCGGTAAAGTATATTTTTCCGCGGGAAATTATTGTTTGCGCACGCTCCATCCGTCGTCAAAGCCGAGTGGATTCCGGCGTTGCGTAAAGTAAAAGTAGAGGCAGCTTCAAGCGCTATTTGTATTGACTACCTTTTTTGTTTTATCTACTTGACATTCGCATATTCTCCCGAAAGTTTGTTTTGCAAATACCACACTTCTTTCAGTTTGAATATATTGGATTCAATTTTTTTTATAGATCAATAACTACGCGAAGATTATTGTAATAATAACAATGATAATGTAAAACAAATCAGAATTTGTCATCTGTGAAAAGAGAGTCCGTGTCTATGAAACGTTACGTAGACACGGACGAAGACACACGTCTAATTGACAAATTTTATATAATTTGTATTCTTAATTGTGCGTAATAGGATGGAGGTGCAAGTTATTAGTACAACCGATCTTACAAATCTTGACTTGTTAAGAAGAGCCGTTCACATGATCAAATGGGGAACTATACTCCATTTGGGGGGTTGACTAATTACGCCTACACATTCAGAACAACTGCATTTAAATTTTTAGATTATTAAGCCTAATGTTATACCATGAAGATGGCTGAAAAAAGCAGCCGAAACGTCGGAAATATCTGTACAGGTGAAGAATAAAGAAGAATTGTAACGTACATTAATAATAACAACTGTACTAGCTCTTATAGTTGCTTATTGTTTGTGTAATACTTGTTTTTAATACTGAGAGCTCGATTAATTTATATTGGTAAACTGTAGCATTTCCAGCGCTGACAGTAAATTTGGAACACAGCCTAAGGGTGTACATGTAAATGTAATGTATGTTTGGATGAAACAGGTTTATTTTCTTTATCTTGTAACTTCATACAGATAATTTCTATTTATGCAGTTATATAACCGTTGATATAATTAAAAATGTAAGAAATATATTTCATAGAGATATATTTCGATATTATTAATACACGTTATTCATCTACATTTTTAGCATACAACCATATTTTTTTTCTCTGAAAATGGCTTAAAGTTGAGCTAAAACAGTATAAATGAATGAATTATTAAGTCATGTAAATTCAGGTGTACATTATTAATCACCACTTACCACGCTACTTTTACTTTTACCATTTCAAAATTATTAATTCATTACTTTTTCGAAAATCCCATGTACTTTCAATTAATATTTTATTAACAGTTATAAATAATTATATGCCTGTGACCTGTAAGAGTTAATAATTATTTGCGTTTAATGAGAGTTTAACAAAATTTCGTTTAAAATTCAAGTATATTTATCTTGTTTATCTCTCGAATGTTATAGCAATAACGATAAATCGATGTTGACCCTCCAAGCACACGCATGATATGACGATACATCATAGTTTACCACTCAAAGGATTAATGCATTTAAATTACGTCCTAGTATGCGCAGATATACCGCTGCATATCGATACGAGTATTAAAAGTAATCTAGTTGCATACGTGTGTTCGTTATATTATATATGTTTTATGAATTCGGTATAACATCATTCGTAAACAAAACATGTTAGCATACTTGCCACTCAACCGCACTTGCGGTAAAATTTATAAAGATATTTATTTTAACATCAATATCAAAAATACATGTTATTAATAAAATTTAGTCGATAAAATTATTCTTTAAACTTTCGCAACACTGATTTCTTTTTGAAGAAAGATTTCATATATTAGTGTTACCAATCTGTGTTTTAAAATCTCTATTATTCATTTAAAAGAAATACATGTTATATTGCAATATATAAATATTACAATAAAATACGAATTCGGAATTTAAATGTTTATCCAAATATTTCCTACAAACTTGCTACGAAAAATAAATCTTGTTCCAATGGCGTTTCAAAATGCAACGTTAAGAAACAAGAAGATTATAATACTTTATATGCAAAGCACATATAAACAGATATAGTATATAAATATACATATATACTACATATAATATGAGAAAGGTATTCTGAGTATTCGCATCACATAAAAATTACGTTAAACATGCAAAATTCCGCGCACGCTGTACTGTTACAAATATAAAATGTAACTATCGTATATCGTTATTCTAATTAGGAAGTAGTAGTTGACGTATTATTAACACATTTCGTGAATGTATAATAAAAGAAATTTTTGTGAAGCAAAAAACCTATATATACGGACAGTTTTTATAAATATTTATATTTTTAGTTAGAGAGAGAAATAGAACAATAAAGTAGAATGAATGCTGCAATTTTTAATAATATAAATTTAATACTAAATATTTATAAAAATAACATATCCGCTGATGCATTTAATTTGTTTTAATATCCTCTTTATCGTGCAGTGTTATTCAACCTTTTCAAGACGAATGTCTTACATTGGTATCATTTTTTTTATTTTACAAATTTTGTAACCAATTTTTATAAAATTTGAGTTTTGTGTTATTCCTAATGTTTTTGTTAAATATGAAATAAAAAAATTATAAATTTTTAAATAGGATGCCAATACGATGGCAAGAATCTGATACATCTAGCAATCCAGCAAAAAAACAAGCATCGTATGTTGCCAGCTTAATATATTAGTTTTACGTAAATCTAAAGATCAGGAAGGAAGTGTTGTGTATCTTTTTCTCTCACTTTTTATATTATACATAAACACATATGCATATGATTTTTTTTTACGAAGTTTTACTATGTTACAAAACAAACAATTTTTTTTTGTATATTCAGTATAACTCCGAAATAAATTATTGTTGGAAACTTTATTAAAAATGAAATTAAAATGTGAATTGTAAATCTTAAAGCTTTTGAAGTGGTTGTAAGTATGTGCGTGTACATATACTTGAGTGTGTTCTGCTTTTGGCGTTACCCAGGATCAACGGCGGTGGCAAGAATCTAATTTTGTGTATGTGTATGTGTTTGTGTGCGTGTGTTTGTGTGTGTGTGTGTTTAATAACGTGTATTGTCTCCTCGTATTTATCAATGTTTTTCCTCCGTAACGCTCTGCAGGAGGAATGACATAATTTAAGACAAGAAGAAATAAGACATTTAGGGGCTTATTTTGTAATCCTTAACGACTGTAATGATATTGTTACATTGTCATTGCGCAGATTTTGTATATAGTAAAAAAGCTGCACAACGACAATATAACGATATCGTTACAGTCATTATGAGTTACAGAATAGGCCCCTTAATTAACAGTATGTGAGAGGTGGAAGGAAATGAAGAGGGGAATAGACGTATACGGGGAGGAAGAGGAGACTCGGTAATTGATTATATAATGGAAGATAAGAGGGTGAGAATAAATATAGGGTACAGTATGCAGTATAAAACTACATCGTTAGAGATTATTATCAATTATGTGTAAATTGATATAAAGCTACATCAATTGTATCTGATTTTTTAAAATGTGTATATTATACACAAACTAAAATATATTTTGGAAATTTTTTAACTACATATCTCATTTGCTCGGTTACTTCATATTTTTATTAAATGTTATTTATATTCAATAACAAAAAAAGTCGATGATATATTATTTAAGTGAGCAGTACGCATTAGATAACTCATCTCTATATGTATACATATATCGCTATAAACGAAGTTTAGTATAAATCGCTATGTAATCATAGAAGTATTATGTTTATTGCAAATATTGTATCAATTTTCCGTAGAGATACATTCCATTTCTATACAAAAACGAGTGAGGTGTGAAAAGCTTAATGGATCGATCACCATCCGTCACGAATGTTTAATAGAATCGTGGCGCAACGTGGCGAGGAGTTGCGAATTACTTTATCTTGAAAGATAAAAAGTCAGGACGTGAAAGATTAATCGGCGCGCCAACGCGCGACACGCTTCTTCATCAAACGAAGTGTGTATTCATCTTCGAAAACTGTCGCGAGTCGGCACCTATGTGAGCGTATTTGCCATTCAAATGAGCGGTGGGACGTATCGATAGAAGTCCTTAAGTGTATAAACGATTGCGGGGAAGAGCTCGGTTGAGGCGATAAAGCGATGGTCGACCGCAAAGTTGGAAGACGTTTCGCCTCGAGCATTGCACTGTCGTGCTCGCTGGTAATGAGGGGAGGGGCCGGGATCATCAATAACGTAGCGAGTTCACCAACAATTAATTAGGGACATCGACGTAGCATGCACATATAACTATTGTTATCACTGTCAAGCTGTTGTTAAATTGCAGGGATGGAATGGGATGTGCTCATGCAAACATTGGGAGAGCTGCGTGATAACTTTGTGAGGACAAACCTGCAGATATATCGCAGAGATACTCCTCCTTAAGGAAGTTTTTCTATGTGCCAGCTCTTTTTTTTATCGGATTAATTACGCTGCCCCGCTAACTGACTGTGATTGAAGCTACCTCATTGTATATTGTTGTCAACAAATTATTATTTTCTATCTGAAGCTTTTTATATTTATTTTTCTAGACATTTTTTTCCGTGGAAGAGATTGCAAGTAATGAATTCTTTTAACATATATATTTGAAAAACTTGTGTTAAATTGAATAAATTCACCTATTCCAAACATTCACATTATTTACGTTAATTTAATATGAGATGAATATAATATGAGATGAATTGATATTTAATATGTTAGGAAGTAACACAAATATTATACAAAAAATTGACGCAAAAATATAACATTGGCACAATTTGTAAGCAAATTATGGAAGTATATTTTTTTTCTCTTCAGTAAAGTTATTATTTATAATATAATAAATTAATACGTATATCTTATTTAATTATTATCTTATAATTTACATTTTAAAATACATTATTTTTATGTTATTTGTCCACTTGCGTAAATTGTGTTATTTTAGCATTAAGAAACATTATGAACATCAGTTTAACATAAAATGTTTAAATAGCACAATCAGATTACGTTCAATTAAAACTCGAATATTGTTAAAAATTCAATACAAAAATTTGTTTAACAAACATTTATTTTAATACAA